CCTATAGAGTCGACATTTCGACAAGTGTACTTGTCTTGTTGAAGATAGAAATTTCTTCAAATCCCTGCGGTCAGACGAGCCTACACTTGAGTTGTAACACCTCATCATCTCCATTTACAGTCGTATACCAGAACGAAGATCGCTGGGTAAAACACTACCTTCAGCGACATCTAATGTGCAGCAGAGGGTGACCTCAAAAAACTATACCGATTTATTTGTGCCCGTCATGCCATCAAATTTAGGCACCTGCTTGGGCAGACCATTTGAAAAAAAAACCCCGAGTATTTGGCGCCAAATGAAGGAAGGCGGGAAGGAAAGGAAAGGTAGGGATGTTAACCAATTCAAGAGATGCAGAAGTGAGCCTCCTAAAGAATTTATTGGCTGTCGACATAGTATACACCAGTCATCTATCGTATCTGTCTTGCTTCACAGACATGGATGATATCCGAGCAGAAGCTAATTTTCCACTGTGCTTGGTGGAATATGAGCTAACCTGGTGGTTGGCGTAATACACCATGTTGACATCACCACTCCTTGTGTAGATCTTCGGATGCTGATTAAGGAAGAGAGTAATCCCGCCGACATCGTCCACGTACTACACTTCGGTAAGTCGCGTTGCGTGAAGATTATTTTGAGAAGCGACACTTTGCCATTCCGCGTGAAGGTAGGCAACTTTCGACATGTGGTTCATCCATCTACACCAAAAGCAATGCCACAAGTGTCCGAAAACGGGCGATGTGAGAGCAGATTGCAGGAACGTGGTGTGCGAAACCCCACAATTCGGAATCCTGCCCAGCAACTACCCTGAAATGTCCCAGTTGCCACGCATCGCGTGAAGCTTTATCAAGACACTCTCCCAGAAAATAGAAGGCAAGAAATGATCTAGTACACAAATAAGGCGCGGATATTGTCAGAAAGCGATAACGACGTTCCGACACCTGCAAAACTCCAGGAATACTGCGGCCCGATCAGGACCATCACCACGGTGTCCTATTACAGCGGACCACTTGAGTCCTGTTTCCAGACAGCTCCTCCGCCGTGCACTGTTCCTCCACCACAACCAACCAACGCCCTACATTCGGACAGACGAAAAATTGGGGACCCTTAAGCTTCGCCTTAAAGAGTTGAACGCTATAGCGAAATCCGGCCCTAAGGCACCCTTCAACAGCTAAGTGCACACTTATTTATGTGTTTCGTTACATACACACGCACGCACACAAACACGCACACAGTAGATTGGACCATTGCACACTATTATCGCCGAATAGGCTCGCTTTCGCCGTGACATTTGTAAAAAAAATTCGTTAAAGAGGCCCTGAAACACATTTTCAAGTAACCACGAATTGAATTCACTAGCAGAGCTTATTGCTTCACAAGTTCACCGCCGCGAAAATTTTTAAAAATACGTCCAGTGCGAGTGGAGTTACAAAGGTTTGTCGCATGCTGCAATGACATTATCTCTTCTCTCGTCCCGCCGAAAGCGCTAGAAGCTAAGTAGGGAGGGGTGGCAGGGTGAAGAAACTACCGCGTCTGATAACCTTGAGCACTTTTTTTCTTCGAATGCGCGGCTTTTTCAGTGTGATCGCGCGCACGCACGCGTGTACAGATAGCGGCCTCCCGCGGCTATCTCGACTACTTGATTTCTCGGTCACAGACGCGCTGGCAGACGATTTTTCACTCGCAACCAACAGGGCCGGCGCCGGCGGCAGGTTTTCTGCGACACGAGCTAAACGCTCTCGTGTTAAAAGACGCAAAGGGGAGGAAGGCGACGTCGGCGGATGTCATGTGGCCGTCCTTACCGCCACTGCGCGTCCACAGAGAGACCACACAAGGTTCTATACTGAGTAATTCTGTGACAATTGCATATACGTGTTATCACTGTGCTGAGGTAATTGATAAGCACAATGCAAACACTCCTCACCGGGAGGACAAACCTATCAGTTCGAAGTGCACTGCAAGTTCTGTATACAGTGGAGCTAGACCTTGGAAGCCTTCTTCAATATCATGGATTGCAGTGTAGTTCATCTAAGACAGTCGAAGTCTACCAATGCTCTGCGACAGTTTGCAGTATTATGACATCAGAGAGTTTCAATTTAGCGTGCGCAACGGCCGAACGCGGAAGAGGGAGAAGAGTGCGCATGCGCTGAACCTAAGATGCGTGCGTTTGCGCACGCCGGGGATGCGCACACCACATCTAGGCGCTTACGTTGCGCCCGCTACGGGCATTGCGTACCTTACAAGCGGGTCTCGTGAGATCTCGAACAGCCAAGACCAAAACAGACAAGATGGCTGCGACCGACAACACTACGGTGGTCGTGGCAGCGCACGAAGCCCGTGTGAATTTCGGTGAACTTGAAACTTAAATAAGTAGCTTGAAGCCAACAAGTGAGCAGGTGCAGTGAATTGGGATTGCTGCTAAGCTGGAGTGTAACTTTGGCCGACTCTACAAAGTCATTTATGAAGAAGTAGGAACATGATCTTGACAAGCACCGCGACGGTTTCGTGGGTTGTGTGCGGGCCGCCGTGTGTGTGATATCCCTTAGAACTGCGGTGATTGCTGCGTGTCTAACCGAAAAATGTCTGAATGATCGCCTGCAAAAGTATTCCAAGTGTTATAAAGTAAAGATTAGTTCTGGTCATGTATTTATCGTGCATGTAGATGGACGTTCGCGTCCTGCGAAGCTCAGGTGATTTTTCTCGCACATGGTGCCCTCATCCATGTGAAAGCAGCTATCACGACATGAAGAATGACACGTGAAGACGCTGCCACCAATGGGGGAATTTTCGTATTTACTGTTGAGTAACTCCACTTTGGTTCTTTTTTATTGTGTCGGGTAATCTTAGAAAACCTCGGTAGCGAACTATAAATGTTAAAATGGAAATAAGCGATTGTCTTCGCCATCTCTCTCCCTCATGCTGCTAGTTCCCCTAGCCTCAACACTCCAAACCATTAGTCGTCATCCAAAAAGGTTGCCTTGTCTCATGTCCCGATTTGTATATTTTGTCGACTAATATCGGTTATTGCAACTTCTTGCCTCTCCACGAGATGGCGTGAAGCAACCCTTAAAGTCGGGCCTGTTGACGCCGAGGTGCAGTACACGTTTGAGATGTTGCGCACGGTAAACTAATGCTGTAAGACGCAGCATTAAACGGAGTGTACGCAGCGCGCAGCACGTTGTGGACGTACAGCCTTGCGTACAATCAACTAAAATCGGACAAGCAGACGTACGCATGAATGGGCGCACGTAAGGACGAACGGAAGCATGGACGGATTGATGGACGCTTCGCCCCACTCACAATCATTCATTCAGTGAATGCTGTGAATTTTTCTGTTTTACCTTTATTGTCATAAGTTTCTCCTATTTGTCTTTCTCCTTTTCTTTTTATTTGTTTTTTTGTTTTTTTTTCAACCGGATACCTCTTGAAAACTATAGCAGCAAAGCCTGCCAGCTGTCGAACGGCAAAAGAGAAAAATTACGAAATATTGTTGCTACTTGTCACACCTTGCCTGAACGATAAGCTCAAATCTCGTTAGTGAGGGCATATATAGCGGAAGCCTTTCCAAATCCGCTTAATGTCGTCAAAATCATGATTTAGGAAACTTAGTTTTATGACCGTTCTTTTTTTATAGCGCATTGCTTTACTGTCACTGTTCCTTTAAAAATTGCGTTGTATAAGCTATATATCGAAGGCCTCTACCCTGCCTATCTTCGTGGGACACTGAGTCAAGAATAGGCGACAATGGATTAAAAATTTCGCATACGGTGTTCATTACGTTCGTTCGCTAAGCGTCAAGCGAGCACCACGTCGGTGATCGCTCTTCTAATCTCACGTGTCGCAAATTCATATGGTATATATATGGTAGCATTTCACAATGCCGCCCGTGCCGTCGCATCGCGTTTCATTTTTCTATCCATCCTGACGAACAAGAAATGCCTTCTAGAAGTTTGCGGCAGGCCTAATCCGCAATAATCGGCCACTTTACACAAAATGCAAACGACGGTCGCTCGCGGCACACGCTGCTTTAATATATATACCCCGACAAGCATGCCCGTGTGAACACAAACTAAGGAAAAAAAAATATTCCCCGGTGAAGTTGGGATCTTGCCTGACGCTTTTCAGCGTAGATGGATTTAGCCCATTTACCATGCTCAGCCCGACTGACACCCGCCTGAAACTTAAAGCTCCCATTGTGTAAAACAACCTTCTGACGACGGGCGCGTGAAAGTGCTGCTGAAGCTCCGCAGCCGAGCCCGCATATTCGTTCTGACGTCGGGCCGGGCGGGCAGGATTGGCTGCGCCGATAACGGAGTGGCCCATGGAGAACAGCTTTCATACATGATGAACTGTGCGCGCTAAGTTGGCTATAGAAAGATTATTTGTTGCCTCGTCTGTTTCGACCAAAGTCAGCTAGTTGTTTATTTTTTTCTCGTGATTTGTTTTGAAACCAGGTAGAAAGCTTTAAAATAAAGCTAAACTTCTCGCTTGAATGACGAGTTTTTCGCCGACTCGATGGCTGGATGACAATGAATCAATATTATTGATTCTCGTCAGTATGCACTATGCCTGGATGGCAACAAGCTTCTCACTCAGGTCGCAATTTTCGTTCGTTCACAGGAAGAATGAAAGATGCTTCGTGTGATATATTTCTTGAAAGGCCGACTTTCGATGAGTGGTAAGTGTATAGATTTTGTACGAACGTATACACGCACACGGAAATTTCGTAGAAGGTATAGCAAGGCACACATGGCACATGAGGAATTACATATGAGCGTATGTAGAGTATAGGCTTACGGAACATACGAAATTCGTATGTGTTATACGGATAGCCATATGACAATACAAAATCTATAGAAACTTTGATACGAAATATACGGAAACCGCATTAGCATACAGAAAGAACAAATGGGATCCGTATCTGCTGTATGGAAAGACCTGCGAGGCCCTTGTGGCAACAGCAAGTTAAAAGCATGGTGTGCTATAAGGAAGACACATGGTACCTTGTAGTGGAACTTTTCTTGTGCCTTAGTGATGCCGGCACGATTCCCGATGACCACGTACGTCGCTTGTGCACCATGGGGGCTTGGTTGTGTTCGGCAGACAACCCTGTGATGAAGAAACGGACGCCTGTATCATATTTCTGCCGCAATATCGCATGCACACCACCTCTGAGGAAACTCTGCCATATTCTGCTCGAAAGGGTCGGTATAGAACGAAAAGCTGGTGTCTCTTTAGTAAGTTAGGTACGTGATTAGTATTTTGCAAGATCTTTCAATGTGAGAGCTTCAAGTAGCTGTATTGACGTTCCCTCCCGTGAAGTGTCGGAACTTGCGAGACCATAAAAGATCGTAAAGGTCTTTCAAGGGTGTGAATAAATAACCATCGCGAAACGGGGTGGTGGTGGTGGTACTTCTTCAGCAGACTCTCGAATTTTATGTACAGATTAGAATTACAAACATACCATAATGAGGTTTTTTGTATGTGTTTAAATGCAATATATAGAAGGCAGGAAACTCGAAATACCAAGCACAACTACTTTAAAAGGACAGCTTCTGTAGGAATTGCGCTGGGATGCTTGGAAGTCGCAAACGTCTGCTGACATTTCTGTTTGTATCATTATTTTGTTTAAATGTGCAATTAAGAATGCCTACTAACACTGAGCCTCGGTCACAGCCCACTGAATTGTGAAATAGCACCCCTCTTCCACCTGCATTATGCTAGATGTCCTTAGCAGCTGTTTCTTCAGCGGCAACTGTGGGCACCCTTCTAAGAGCTATTCAGCAGGTTTCAATATTTTCGACCATTTGTGGACCACTTGTTGGAAACAAAAGCTGTGTACTTCCGCTCGTGAGTCCAAACGTACCTCCATTAATCATAAAAGTTTTGTATATGCAAGTTGTGTGCAGACTTCTGTACTAAATGTTCTGATCACTATTCAGACATGAGCAGGCTTAGTGACAAGGTCTGGTTCTAAAACCTGCAAAGCTGCATTATACTAATGCCACATAGGGCATACTCCTTCTATTAACAAGCTAAAAAGTCTTGTTGCCTCTCTTGTTGAGTCTTGTTGCCCTCTTGTTGCCCTCTTGTTGCCTTGATTATGAACAGATAGTTTTTGATAACAACGCAAAAAAGATCGTTGCTGCAATGATTATAAATGAGTAAATAAATCATGGCTCTCAAAGAAAGTGTTTCTGCCCACAGGGCATTTCAGTGGCGTTGATGACCAATCGAGGCTCTGACACCGACAAAAGAGCCCTCAATTCTAATCGGACAAAGGAACAAACAAGCAAAAACTAAGTGGATGAAAATCAAAGGAGTGATACCTTAGTTGTCAAACTTTTGTGACCTTTTGTCTTGTTTTCGCTTTATTACCACCTCTTTTTTTTCTCTTACTGCCTTCTTTATTCCGTTCCAAAGTGTGCTCGGTCCTCTACTTTATACATTGAGCCGAGCCATTTAGAGAAAATTGCGCAGATAAGAAAGCGGGCTTCCTGAGTGAGTATAACGTGCTTCCATTAAACTTAGGGCACAGTGTTTCTCAAATTTCGCTTTTGGCTATCCTGCTTTTTTTTTCTACTCAGTGAACTTTCCTAATGTTCGTGACATATTCAAGGCACTCTTGAGCGTCTTTGTTCTCACGCGCCTTCACTGATGAAGGCTTTTCTGCTCTAGAGCTAATTAAAAAAAAAGACATAGCAAGTTATCAGCCTTGAGCTAAGTATTAGGACAATGCTTTCCGGGGACATGGCTTCTCAAGCGTGTAATAAGGCTAGCAGAAAAAAAAAGGCAATAAATTCAGTCTTATCATGAGTGCTACTTCTGGTAACCAGATAACTACAGCGAGAGCGCATAATTTTATGTATAAAGGATAAGCGGGAAAGCGGGACATAATTACTTACAAGCTATGATCATGCTGTATTCCTTGAACGGGATCGCTCATTTTTCCTACAGAAGAGACGATGTCACCTTGCACAATACTTCAAACTCACTTTCTACTTCTATGCCAATGTCCTTCAGTAACCACGTTGTTTCAAGTAGGGTGAATCGTGTTGAATTTACAAATGTGATGCATTCACATAGAATTTAAACTGGTAATACCTAGCTGAAGTGTTAAACACTATTGTGACCTCGTTTGTATCTAAGACTCACTGTGTGTTATAAGAAAGTCTATCCGGTATTCTAACTTTATACGCTTCCACTGATACAGCCCAGAGAAACCAGTTAAGTGTTTACATATTTCTGGCGCGAACCTGTATTTTCTTAAAATCTCTAATTACAGACGACCTTGTTATGGATGTACTTAGTGCTGTGTGCGGTTTGTATGTGAGAAATTTATTGATGGCAATAACATACGCAGTAATGTTATTCAAAATCATCTGCTCAGTTGCCGTGATGTGATCGATGACTGATGTAAAATTTTCCTTCATCGTACAGTTTATCTACACGTTTTACCTTTCATGTCTGCATATTACAAACAAAAGCTAACATAGCGTGGTGCTGAGTGTGGGATATCGTTTTTGTTTTTGTGCACCTTAGAGAGAACACGCTTACCTTTCGCTGTTCCTTACGATATCTGCTTAGTGAAGGACTTACAAGCGCAGTGACAGCGCTACATTAGTGGTACTTGCCTGACAGACACGTTGTACTCCACAGGCACGCAAGGCAGGCCACCAACGAGGATCTTGTCTCTTATTTCCTCCTCGCTCGTTCCAAGGTTGCTACCTTCAATAGTGACCAAAGTACCGCCTTCCACGGGTCCGTTAAGAGGATGTATCTGTGCGAGAGATGATTAATTAAAACAAGTTGGTCAAGCTCAGTTTGATCAAAAAATGTTTATTGGCAGATGTTGGAACCATTGCGCATGATATTAACTGTTTCATTAACTGTTATTAACAATATAACTGTTACTAACTGATTTTAAGTGATATTACCTGTTATCACTAAAGCAGATAAGCAAACAACAGCGATTCAGCACTGTGGTTCGCTTACACTGACTAAACGAGAGCTCGTTTTCGAAAAGACGTTTAGAATCAGCAAGACCATCAAGCTTGTAATATTCCATTTGATATTTGAACAAATCGTATGAGGCAACTTGGATTTTATTGCATTTCATTAATTTAATTAAAAAAACTTATACACAGGCTTATAAAACCACTTAGTAAAAAGGTACAAATCACTGGAGGAAGAAAGGCTGCGTTTGATTGGCTGTCCTCTGCTGGGTGAGTGAAGATAAAAATTTAGGTACAAAAAGTGCAGCTAACTTCGAGATTTCAACAGCAGCATGAATAGTATTCAGTACAGACTCACACGTGAGAGAACGTGCATACCATACTGAGCTGTGAGACGTCTCATCCGTCCAACTGTGTGTCCTCGTTCTTTGCTGCGACAATAGTGTTCTGCCTCAACAAATTCACTATTTTAGACAATAATTGTGGCACCTTATAGAAACCTATTTATCGCTAAACGCTTCATACGAAATGTGTTATTCAAGAAATGACAGTTAAATGCTATATTCGCCTGACCTTTTGGAATTATACCAAGGCACACAACACAAGGCATGACAAAACGGGTAATGTCCATGTCAGTTATGCGTGTCACGTACGCTTTGTGCACGGTTGTTTCGCAGGTTAAAACGACTTCCGTGAAAAAGTTTCCTAGCTCTTTTTTTTCCAGCCAAAATGCGGTTACACTGTTTGACAATGTGACCCCGACGTAAAGCGAAAACAACTTAATCTATCCATCGGGGCACTAAAAAGCCGACCAAGGTCGAGCCGGTCGAATGACACTCGGTAAACAGTGAAAGCCAGTGTGCGGGACAGCGTGATATAGGGAGAGCATCTCTTGAAAGAAAGAAAAAACAAAATCAAGAAATACACAAGAAAGTTAGTGCAAGGAAAAAGCGCGGGAAAAGAGGAAGTGCACTTCCCCCAAGTTGGCGGCATTCGGGTGTGCGGGACGCGTCGTCAAAACACGTCTCCCGGAATATCCGTCGACGTACGCTTTTACGATGACCCGATTAGATAGCTGCGTGTGCTCAAATGAGCTTCAGCCAGTCGTCGGGACAGGAGCGGCTCGCTGCTCCAAGTATAAACAATGAGAAAATGTGTACAAAACTGCTTCCGGAATGAACAAAAATAGAAAAAAAAGCTCTGGGTGGACGATGTGGTGAACAGCGCTGACGAGATAAACACAGCCGCAGAGCTGGGACAGAAGTGGATTGGTGAATAGCGGGAGTTAACGAGCAAGACCCGCAAATGTGCACGTCAGCCGTATCGTAATTATTATCAGTTTAAATCATTACGTTGTCTTAACTCGCTGCGTCATTCCGTGTAAACAAGACTTGTTTTGAAGTTCTGCATGTCATGCAAGCTATGAATTAGATGTAAGGGCAACGCCTTTGCGCCATCTACTCCGTGTCAATGGTTTTATCTGATAGCATATGTCACGAAATGCGAACAATTAAATCTGTAGCAAAGCTTGCCACTGTAGCTATTTAGACTGCTTTCACAAAAAAAAATATATAATCAGTAAGTTATGTAATCTTAAAAAAAATCTGTTATTATTATTCTTCACCGGCTCACACTTGGCAGGCAGGATGGATGACCGGAAGTGAAGAATTGTACAATTAAGAAGAAAAGAAAGTCTCTACAAAGCATGGCTTCTGCAAGTTTACGCTGAGAAGCCATGAAGTATATAGGGCTATAGTTGAATGGTTTTTAAGTGCTGTGAGGGGCAAAGGGGGGACTGCATCTAACATCAAAATTCTGCGCTGCATAGATGTAGGAGTTCACTAGTATAGCTCCGCAAGCACATTTTCAAGTTTCAAGGTAATGGGTACGTAAATAATGAACATTGTGCCCTAAAATTTGAAATTTCAGCCCCCTTTTTGAACGTACTAGTTCATTTTTGCAATGTGCGGTAATATTTCAGATAATCACGGCCAATCCAAATTAGGTTACTACAACGCGAATGCGATCAATGTCATCAACGTCGCAATCTTCTTGACATTGCACGTCATTCTATAAGTGATGTAACGGCACAAACGTTTTCATTCACTACAGACACGAATGGCGAAACGGACATTGACACAGAAGCAAGGCACGCGTACAACATGCCCCATAGACGTATATAGGCGCCATGCTTATAGTGGGATCGTGACAACGAGAGCCCGGTAACTTATTAGACCGTGGAAACAGTTTGCACACGTCACTGTGCTCGGCCGGAAAGCTTCTTTTCCTCTCGACACCGTCTAAAATTGATAACTTTTTTGAAAAATTCACAAGCAGCGTACATTGCCGCGAAATTCATATATGATAGGGAATCAGTTTGCCTATCGAAAGCTGTCACCATAGGATGCTTGATTAGCGAATTCGTGTTATGATTTAAATTCTTGTCGTTTTTTTTTCCTCTGCACGATCTTTCCATGAAGAAATGCAAGTCCAGCGACGTGACCACGCAATGCTGCATGTCGCAATCTATGAATGGTCCGTCATCTCAAGTTGATAATTGGTGAAAAATTATACGAACCATGCATAATTAAGGTACTGAGGTTTTATAATAAGACGCACTACTATAACTATCGTTTAGATAATGACCACATCTATCCAGACAGCCGGCTTCGGGTCATGACAACAGGACTCTTTGCTGTATGATAGTCATCAACTCTTTTAAGCATTTAAGTGCAAGAAAACATAACCGATCATAATGCAATCACCTTCGCCTCCTTATAAGATATAGTAAAAGTAGGTGCCATGTAATCGGTGTGCGTTCCCAACTGTGGCTTCGATCCAACTGCCTGAAGACAGGGTATACATCTCTGAAGAATTCACGATGATTCTCAGCAAGTTTTGCTGGTTGCGTGAGCATCATTCCGAACTTAGCAACTGCTGAACTACTGTAAACTTGGAACAAAACGGCACGTTAGTGCGTGCTATCTCAACAAATGTCTGTAGGTGGTTGTTACATTTGTGTGGGCTTCGCCCCCACCGCTTACTTCATATTGAGCCTACAGACAGCAGCAAAACTGCGTCTCTCCCTGATGGCGTCGTGCTTGCTTAAAGCTTAAACCAGTGCCAAAAGGAGTTACGCGAGATCGGATTTAAGCGATTTAGCTGCTAGCTTTATCGTAACACTTTTGTCGTCACACTTTTTTTTTCGCAATGTCCTCAATATGTTTAACTAGCGTGTGGCACTAGACCTGCAAGGTGCAGGCAGCATACAATTTTGGCGGTCTGGTGCTACTTATGTGAACTTATCAACTCCGTACATTGTACGTTCCGCCTGGCTAACTGCCCTGTGAATCCTCAGAGCAGCCAGCGCCTTAATGTATTGTAATTTCTTTATATAGTATAACAAAACTGCATCTCTCTGCTTCTGTTGTTATAAAAGGTGTATTTTTACAAAGCTATTATATCCGCTAGGGGTGCAGAGTTACAAATTTCGAAAATTATAACTTAACATGTAATCTGGTGTCCGCACACTCTTCACAATCTTTTAGTTTCACACATTCACACAATACATACGCCATTACCATATACGAACTCGCATATCCCACAACTTTATTGACAATTATCTCAGCACAGAACACTGCGCTCCGTGCTATCCTCTTCCCACAACAGACCGAATAAATTACATTTGCCTACCCATTGATTAATATTCTTCCTGTGAAACGCTGCATTGATTACTATGTTCTCGTACTGCTGTAAGGCAGCATGGATAAAATTGTGCTGTGTCCTTCTGTAAAAATTGGTAACCAAAGCACCCCGTACGCAATACGATTAATTACCCCAAAAACATTAATCATTTCAAAGTGTCGCATGAATTAAGGATAATTTACATTCACACATACCGCATCACATATTTGGAACAAACTACCAACAAACCTAACAGAACGCCAGTCGTCTACCTGTTATCAAATTATTCTACATTGGCTTTTATTCCACCCCCCTTCTATTCCCGCCGCCCTCTAGTGTTTGTGAACTGGATACGACATGAATGTCCCATTCACAACTCCTCTGCGAGTTATTGGGCCCTGATTTTGGAACAAAACTGATGTGTATATCTTCTTGTGAGCCCCGCAATGGTGGTCTAATGGTTAAGGGGTTAAGGTACTCTGAAGCTGACCCACAGGACACGAGATAGAATCCCGGCTATGGCAGCTGCATTTTTGACGGAAGTCAAAATTCTATAGGCCCATGTGCTCAGATTTGGGTGTACGTTAAAAAACCCCAAAAAGCCGAAATTTCCGGAGCCCTCCACTGCGGCGTCTCTCATAATCGTATGACGGCATTAGGACATTGAACTCCCCATAATGAATTATATCTTCTTGTGAATAATATCGCCTTACGTTTATTTTGAATTGAACAGCTTTTCTGAATTGTAAAAAAGTTGCGACCTAAAGTCAAGGTATTGACTTACCGAGTATGGTGACTTTCCTTTTTTTTTCAAACATAAAAGCTTTATTTCAATGTAGTCCAGTGGTCATCCGACAAGTCTTTCTGCGTTTAACCCATGTTTGAACCGAGCAGTCAGTTTGCCTCGCGTTAAACCTTCATTTGAAAAGGACGAGGACCAAAAGACGGCTGTATTCTCGATAATGATTCATGTCTTCTTCAACATTTGCAGGATGTATTTCCATTCATGTAAGAATCGTGGGCAGTCTACGTTTGAAACTTTGGAAACAGCCTCGCGTTAGAGCACATAATCTGTATCTGTGCAACCTTACGCCATATCATGTTGACAAGAAAAAGCTGCAGAAAGCTAATAATCAACTTTTACGTCTTCCTTTGTGTTAAACTTATGCGAAACTCACCATATCTTATATTGAGCGCGTCTACGACTTCCAGTAAGCATATGACATTACGGAGACCGAGATCTAAGCATTATGTCTAGCCGTCATTTTTCATGGACGACACATTAACCTGCGTAACCTTTGTCTTCGATAATGTATTCACCAAGCTTCGTAAAAATTGCAATAATATTTCATATGAACGCTGTCCATTCAGGCTTCACACACGCGATTTAGGTGTCTAATTTGCTGTCCACTGTAAGCCCCTCCACTACGGCGTCTCTCATAATCATATGGTGGTTTTGGGACGTTAAACCCCACATATCAATCAATCAATCAATCAATCAATCAATCAATCAATCAATCAATCAATCAATCAATGTCCACTGTAAGCATCGCTACGCACTCACAATGTTAGAAGGGCTGATGGCATAAGAGCTTTATGTGTGATTACGGTTCGTGAAAGAGTTGCTCAGAAAGCTTCCTGCCATCGAGGGCCAGACACATTCGATCTGTGTTGCAAGGTGCTTGAATCAGCTTGTGTTCGGTTTCGGCAATGACGGCGATTGATTACCGTTATTGAACTTGTCAGCACAAAACCTTCTGACAAGTAACACAAAAGATGAGGACGAGCGCAGCATTTTGTGTTACTTGTCGCAAGTTTTGGCGCTGAGAAGTTTAATAATGCATTACCAACTAGCCCAATCCCACACTTTACTTCAGTACATTGATTATCCTTCTCCAAATGATCAGATATTCACGATGAACTTTTATGGAAGACAAGGAGAGTAATCGTGGCCAAACTGTTGCCATCGCATGGAGGTGGCAGAAGAGTAATCGTGGCCAAACTCTTGCCTAGTTTGGCCACGATTACTCTTCTGCCACCTTTATGCGCTGTTTTTACTTGTTTCTGTTTGCAATTTTTGTGCTTTGCTTACATCTGCGATGACCAAGGAAATAGCCGTAGAGTAGCTGAACACACATAGGAGCGTCACTGGCAAGAGTCGCCTGACTCCCTAAAACGTGGTGGTGTGATACTTCGTGAAAGAGTCCTTTCACTTTTCTAAAGAGCGTCAGGGAACTCTTCTGAGCACGCTGACTCGGACGCATCAAGAGAGTCACCCTGTTTGGCAAGTCAGAACCCTATACTTCCTTTTTTAGTTTTTTTTAGTGTGTAGGTGTTATGGTGCTTAACGGTACACTCGCAGGTTGCGAGATCGAATCCCGACCGAAGTGGCCGCATTTTCCATGGAAACGAAAATGCCTGAGGCCCGTGAAGTTTAGGGGCATGTGAAAAAGAACCACAGGTGGTCGAAATTTGCGAAGCCCTCTACTACCACGCCTCTGGTAATTATATCACGATTTTGAGACGTTAAACTCAAACAATAATTATTAATTAGTGCAGCCGATGTCTGACTTCAGCTATCGCAGTGATCGGTCTTTGCCTTAGTACATTTTACTCATCGTGGTTAACAGCGCGAAACACCCGGACAGGAGCGATAGAAGGACACGGCAGCGCTGTACCGTGTCCTTCTATCGCTCCTGTCCGGGTGTTTCGCGCTGTTAACCACGATGAATGCTCACCAACTAGCCCAGTTTTCCATCTTACATTTTACTACCACTTGAAATATATTAACGCACCGCAGACTTCTTTAAACCATGACAGTTACCTTATACAATCGCAATAGTACGTCGTTTATGGGCAGTGAAGATAGCTACCAGGAAATGAAAGCACAAGAAATAAAAGCCGTGTGCTTAGCTATGGTTCTATCTGTTACTATTTACTACTTCGTGGAGGTTCATTCGGAAAGCAGTTGCTTTCCCGCGTATTCACATCGAAACAAAACACTCGCCATAAAGAAACACCGAAAATAGAGTTGGCGAATCACACCGCGAGAGAAAATTGCGAAGAGAGCTTTGTGCTGAACGAAAAGGTGTGACGCGTGTCATGGATTCCGTTAATTCTATTAGCTGCATGACGAACGAGTGAACAGTGGCTCAATTAGGAATCCGCCGGCTCATTGTCAATTGCTGCCACATCGTGAATAATGCATAGCTAGTTCTTCTGTGTCCGTAGTAGGTTTTGTTGGGGCAAATATTTGTATTGAGAGTGGCAGTTTTATAGGAAGCTGTCTTAAAGATAATAAATGAAGATAGGCAAAGTAAATGCTACGCTGCGAAAACGCAATAGAAGATTTAGAATAGTACTGGCTCATTTATTGATTAATGTACTGTTAAATCCGGTGCTCTTAGGTGTGCTACAAGGGCAGTTAGTCACTTAATTCCGCAATATCAAACCTGTATGAAATCGCATGTTTTTCATACTTACGGAAGAAATTAGAATACAGTGAATGTGTGAAAGGCTTTTTTTTATACAGGCGCCAATATTCGCACAATTTGTTTTGAAACTCCTAAAATAGAAAATGAAGGGGCAATGGCGAAAGAAAAAAAAGTGTTACATATGCGATAAATTGATCTGTTAGACAGGTAAAATGCATTGTGCTGAGATGTTGCTTATACCGCTCTAAAGTAGATTAATATTAAGCGACGAGAAAATATCGTAAACATGTATTCTAACCCAACGTAAGTTATAAATTTCTCTGCATTTCTCAGATACGGATGTTAAAAAAGCTGCTAGCGGCGCTAGTAGACATTACGGCACTCAGCGAGTGCGTATCACTCTTTTTATGACTACAGAAAAATATCCACGCATCTCCTCGAAGTGAATCATGACGAGTATAGGCGAAGCCCTGAGGGTCGTTCGGTGCTACCCTAACTCGACCGTGACATTGCTCACTCGCTCTTGTAAATGAGTCACCACATTCGGTATAGAACACTTCTATAGTGTGTAGTCGTCGCTTGCTGCGCCTTCAACTTGGAATTATCTTCTTGGCGTTAACGTTCTGCCACTTTTATGCTGTTATGGCCTTCTATTATATTGTGGAAAAGATTATTATTTTGTTCTTGTTAACAGCCTTCTGTTAACATTTTTATTGTTCACGTAAGTTTTTGTTTTTTCACGTGCACATGCGCTACATCTGCTGTAGACACCGGACAGCTTTTCGAGGAGGGACAGTGCGGGCTCTTAAGGTGTTTCGCTCATGAAAGAACTGCCTCCCCTTTTCGTCCCCACGTTTAGGGTAGCATACTGGCTTTTCTGGGCTGGTTAACGTTTCTGCCTTTCTTTTTATACCGTTTCTTCTTTCTTGCATGTTAGATGTAGTTAATCTTGTGCCCAAGAAAAAAATAAGCCTTTGAACTTTCACTTCTCTGCGTTAGTACCAAACAGGCATATCTAATGAATTATAACCTTCGCCACCGTGCAGGGTAGCCAACCTGGCTCATACAGGTCAATCTCTCTGCCTTTTTTTTTTGGCGCGCTTGTTCTGTGCGTGCTTAAAATCACGTTTGCTCGTAATTAACATTTCAAGGCCATCTAGCGTCCGCTCACCCAGTCGATCCGTGGCGGTGGACACGAGGTGGTGACTGGCTCGACGCACGATGGTCCGTAGTTGCACGACCCTCCGCACCAGGAACACTGGTAGCGCTTGTCGCGCGTCAGGCACAGTGAGCAATCCTGGCGGCCACCGTGGCTGCCCAGCAACAGGCACTTGTACAACGTCACTGCGCAAACCACGTCGGGATCATTCGTCTTCGTACAACTGTGCAACACACTGAATTGCGTGTCACTGAATTGAGTGTCGCTGAAAGTCGCCAGCAGACGCTGCCTGCGTCGGCGTTGCGAGGCAAAAAATAAAAATAAAATAAAGAGGCAAGATAGAAGAGAAGAGAGAGGGGGGACGCGCATGCCAATTGGAGGTTTATACTCCGCGGGGAGGGATGCCTTGAGGAGAGAGAGAGGAGAGAAGGCATAGGCTAGCAGACTTTGCCTGTATCGGCATTGCGAGGCTCGAGAGGACGAGCGTAGGAGAGGAGAGAAGGGGGACATGCATGCGGAGTGCGTCGCGGACGCCACTGGATCGAGTTAGCTCGTAAGATGCTTCGCATCCAATTACTGCGAACTATTTATACCCAAAATTTACCGCTGCCGGTGCGCAGATCTCGAACGAGCTTGAGAGTGTTCTCTATCGCGCAATGCTCCTACATTTTCATTCAGTTTGGAAACTGCCCTTAAGACGACCACAAAAAGTGGCCCCTTTTCTGTACCCACTCATGATTAGAAACAAAAAAAAATTTTTGGGCACACCTATGTCCAAGTATAAAACTTCTTTTTTTTTTATCTAGAGACCTTATGCACACCTTACGTCGGTCATCCCCGTGGCAGGATGACGCAGGTGATTTGCTCCTTGCGCCGCAGAATATCTAAAAGCGTCGGGGTTCTGCTTTGTCGACACTTGCAGCGTGCCGCTAGAACTCAAAGGCGTAACAACTGTGACACTTGTTGGTTGACGTTCGTTCTGTCAATACCTGTGCGTCATTTTTAAGTCTCCGTATCTTTCTTTGAGTTTCAGCGGTGAGGTGCAAGTTCCGAGTTGCTTGTCGTTCTTCGTGTGACATTACAATTTCTTCCTATCGCATTCATTGCTCCGGTCTTGAGGCATATTTTTTTTCGCGCCTAGAGACATAGGGTCTCCGCAGTTGTTGATATAACAGATATGGAGTGGTCAAATCGCTATGACGATAACTGGCTTCGTGCTAACTCAAAATAGAAAGGTTACACTGCCTACCGTTGGTCTTGTCGATGAACGTATCACCATTCCACAGCACAGTCAGGGACGCTTGCAGTTCACCTTGCTCCGCCTGGTACGTGTACTAGAAAAAAAAGCCATCGTACCGCGGGAAATCAGTATACATATTCGTCTAAAGCTGTAAGTAATGTAACAGAATGTTAATTCTTATGTTTCCGTCCACCACTCTCTGTATGGCCGCTGTGATAAGAGTAATAAACAGAATGCCCGTAGGCAGCATTAGCCATTAAAGCAGGTGCTTTAGGGCATCCTTATGAGAGATATCTTGCAAACTCACTTTCGGCGGCCTCTTCTATTCAGTGCTCCCAAAGAACACCACGCTCAAGTTCATCACTCTGTTTGCACGTCATGCATTTTACGGACAGTGCCTCATGCAGCGGCTGTGTTATATCCTAAAATACTGCTCCGTTTTAGATGCGGTGCTTCTTATGGTCGAGCTCAATTCGGTGTGCGGCGTGACCGCACTTAATGTGAATGCGCGTACCCTTTTCTCTCTTCTCCTACGCGTTCTCCTCTCTCGCCTCGCAACGCCGACAGCATCTGCTAGCGGGCTTCTTGATTGAAAACATTGACAGCTCATGTAACACAACCGTTTATTGGCCACCCCGTAAGTACTGGATCTTGACCTCCAAGGTAGTGCTGGTGGGAAATTTCTTCTGTGGGCTGATGAGCAATAAAAATTTGCAGCGTGCGCGTTAACTAAAAGCAGACTGCAGGTCTGTGCGTTCAATCAGAGCCTTCTGTCTTTCATTGCCCATGGCATGTTCCAGTAAGAAACACTGGCCCATCACATCGCGCTTTGCGCCGCCCCAGGCTTCTCTTCTGCGCGAAGCCGCAATGAGTGCCAGCGTCAAAGCTGCCGCCAGTGTAAGCGTTACCGCCCGCTGCTTCGCATCTACACGTGGTTCCTTAATTGGTAGAAAGTGCAATTTTCTCAACAAGAACACAACATACGCTGAAGTGCTTCTTCAAACCTTCTGGGAAGTAAAATGTGTCTCGAAGAACAAAATATTGGGACCATGGCCTTGACCTTCATAATAGCATCGCTCTACCTCCTGACGACAACAGAACTCTGTGATCACCTGTGATTGGGAGGTGAATGCAGTCATGAGCGCGCAAATGTCACAGGTTCTTTTTTTAATTGTTTTTCTCTCACCAAATTCGCCCCTTGACGTCGTAGGATAACGAACCAGAAACAACCTGATAAATATATTTGCCATTCCTCCATCCCTCTCTCTTTGATTGTAGTAAGGCCTTCGTGAAGCACAACACAATGGCCATACAGCCGCAACTTACCAGCTAAATCTTGATGCGGCGTAAACGGGATTGTGGACTCTGGTGTCACATTTAGGGATATCCTGGTTTTCTTTTTTTTCAGTTAGCCCTTTCTTTTCCTCGCTGTCGTTTGTTCCAGGTTTCCCTGGCTATTTATTTGTTCGCAGGGAATATCGACTGACGTGCGCGTCCATGGCTTGTCGGTAAACAGCGGCAGCCGTTGGGCTTCACTCGGGCTCTGTGCAGGTTTTCATCTTTCCGTCCCAGCTGATTCAATGCGTGCAGCAGTGCAGAAGGTAGAACTCATGGCGCATAACGGCGTGATTCGCGTAGCTGTAAAAGAGCAAAATATGCTCGGCCACTCGGGGCTGCTTCAAACCTCTGTCTGTCAGCGTATGCAATTCCACAATTCTAATGCTAAAATTACCACTTTCGCCAATACTGAAATTGGTTGAAATCGCACGCGGTTTCGCAAATTATTTCTCTATTACGATGGCTGAAAAGAGAATATATATTTGAGGCCTTCAGTTGTACTATAGACTGCACGGATACGTGCGGATGTGAGCGACGAAAAAATTAATAAAATTGGCAAGGTTCTGCTTTTTACTCGTGTTTAATGGTAGAGAGTTTAAAAAAAAGCAATGTCTGCTGGATATCCCTAGTCGTACTTCTCTGCAAACGTAAGAAGGTAGCGATGGCTAGGAGTTAGAAGTAGATGAGGAAGAAGGAGAATGGAATAAACATGGCGTATGAGCCAAGCCACGTCTCCCATTCATCATATCGTGACACGAGTCGACAGGATGGAGACCTGCCTGCCCCTTCATCAGTCGCTCATCATCTATGCAGTTATCCGCATGACACCCTGAGCATATATGGACCACCGTGCAAGCGCCTAGCATTACGCATCGACCAGCATCATGTCAGAAGCATCTACTGGCCTTCCCATCCCCAAGTACACCGGAGCAGCAGACGATGGACCCATGCAGGACTGGTTCGACCTGTTCGAGCTCCACGCTACCGCTGCATCATGGTCGAAACGGGAGATGATCATCCACTTTACCGACTACGTCTCTGGTGAGGCTTTCAAATTCTACCTCACCCACATATTTCAAAATGATGAGTCATGGAAAAAGATTAAAGAAATGACCGTCCGATTTCAAGAATACAATGACGACTACGAAGAAGACTCGCTTATAACCAACCATCAACAGGCAATCGCACTCAGTTGACAATTTCACAAGCAGTCTTCAAGCTTACGAAGGCCCAGCAGGAATCGACCACTGCGACAACACAAAGTGGAACCTCAGTACACTGACAGGTGACCAAGCGTATTTCGAGAAAAACACAGCCATCGAGCGGGCCTCCCTTCTGCACGCAAGACAGCACTTCCAAAATCATCGATTAAGCATATGACACGAGACGCTGCTCAACCACTTGATACTCTCCATTCTTCGTCTCACATACATGGCCCGACACCCGGTTTTACATCACGCGGCTCCTAAGGTACTCTTAACGCTCACCGTCTGCTTCGTAAGGACGCCGTGTTTACAATAAATGAACCATTGACGCATCGGGAAAATACCCAACCACGCCATGACGATTCGAAAAGGTGTTTTTCATCATGCACAAGACTTTATTTCGATGGCTTAGTAGACTGTGCCGTCCGAACCTAATAATGCCACGTCACCCGTGGTATGCCCATGCTGTGCTCACAGCTCCAAGAACCGAAAGTATGCAGAAATAATGCAGAAGAACGCAACAGTCGGCCTCGCGCACCAGAGCTGTACTAACCCCGGATTGCTGCCCACTCCTGTGAAATTTTTGTGCGACTTTACGGAACTTCAATCTGATGTTGAACTACAGCCCATTTGAACATTTTTTTTTGTGTGTGTTCTAAGACTGCTTGTTTATCAGGCATTGTAATATGCAGCGCGCGCATTCTTTCGGAGGGAGGGGGAATATCCTGTAACGTAAGAAGGTAGCAATGATTAGGAGTGATATATATATATATATATATATATATATATATATATATATATATATATATATTAGTCATCATGATGAAGGCCAGACTCTAGGCCGAAACGTCGAAATAAACCACGTTGTGACCGCTCACGGAGGATCTACTGAACTATATGCAACGCTACGGCCACTCAACCACCATGCCTGCCTATATATATATATATGCAGTCATCACGCGCATATATCTGGGAAGTAAAATGTGTCATCACATTTTATTTGTTACCACATTTTTTGATGTGGTAAGTGTATATATATATATATATATATATATATATATATATATATATATATCATGTCTGTGTGTATGAGTGTGTACGACATTCTGCTTCATTAATCAGTAAAAATTCGTCCATAATTGACACGTAGCTCGAGGAATAATGTTTACGTATAAGTAGCAGGGACAGCACCTTCTGGCTATAATGACCCACGTATGATGTTGATGTCAGCAGAGAGTCCGGCGTTTGCACTCAGTATTGGCTCTGCATTCAACCTGGTACGTTGCCTCTCTCGGTTAGCTGGGGTCAACGCGCCCATCTGTGGCATTGCACTCTTTAAGGATCCCGAAGTACATACGTTCACTCGACGACGCAAAGGGGCTTCGGTGCCCGTGCTCCGGTAGCTCCATGCTTGACGACGTTTGCGACAGATTGACGTGTTTCTCATTATCCGCACACTTTGGGACGCTTGTTTGAGAGGCACCCACGAGTACTGGTGCGTTCCCCGTAATTACTGCAGGGATGAAGGCGTTAAAGAAAGCTGCTGCCAATCGAGGCACCGTCCAGGACACAAATAACACGCTAACGCTCGCCATCTCGAGCGTGGTAGCAGCAGGAGCTCGCGGTATTTACTGAGCTGCTCCTCAGAGCACAACTTGCTGTGGGGGTGGAATAAAGACGATCAGGCGCCAAAATAGTCATAAGGTGTGTTTCATAAAGCTTTGGTTGGCAAGAATTCCTTGTATTTGCGGCGCAGCTTTCCCATAAGGACACCCGCTGACGTGGCAGTCGTGGTCATGGCGCAGCTCCGCTGAGTTCAAGGTCGTCGCACCATTATTTCAATGAATCAAGCACTAAAAACGCTGGTGCGCTTGGGATTCGTGTGCACATTAAAGAAGCCCGTGTCCTCGAAAGACATCAGCAGTCCTGCACTATGGCATACTTTGTAATCATATTGGTGTTTTGACCCATAAAACGCCATGATTTATTTTAACTTCTGTGCTGGCCACAGTGGTGCTGGCAGAACAACACCGACAATATGTTATGGGATTCGTGCTCAGATATTTGACGCTGCGTGGTCGTGTCAAGATTGTGTTAGTGCTAATAAAAACTTATTAACTTATGGGGACTTCATATGTGTGTCCAGGTGACTGAAAGAATCACTTGGGTGGGATATAAAACAATGCGTAGGAGCAAAGCTGGCCTATACGGAAAATAAATGTTATAAAAAAACATGGTTCAGATTCAGAGCTACAGCTTTACGCTTAAAGCGAGAAGCATGGCTTTGAAATATTAAGCATCTAGTTCCCGCCTTTTTATTGCTATTGGTGAGCCATCGGGATCAATTTTCGTCCTGCAGGGTTTTATTTTGCACCATAAATAACTTATCGTCGTTCTGCGCTGAACTTCGCAAGTTTCGTCCGTATAACCATAAATTAGTTATAATACTTTGTTGGTTCCCTACAAGTTTTTTTTAAGAATGCATCATTTTTAAAAATCCTAGATGTTTATAACTGTTTTAGTAGCTTTCCCCTCGCCTTTCTGCGTGAGCAATTAGGAAATGCCGTTATTAATTCCCAGCTTTTTGCTGGTGTGAGCTTCTACCTGGGAGCGTCGGCATTCCCTTCTGACCAAATGCTGTTCGAGTGATTGCTCTTAAGTATTTAGCTAACGCCCTTTCCATAATCGTCTTGTTAGGCTCTAAGCTAACTAAGTGAGCGCAGTAATGAATTAATTAATTAACCACTTGCTATATGCCCTCATTTCGTTTACTAACGTTTCTTCAGTCCTCTCTTTTCTTCGAGACAGTTAAGGCGTGAAGCTAACTTCAGTCCCTGGCTCTGTTGTATATTTCCTCTTATGTCCGGACGCCAACAACATTGCAGGGTTGTTTATCCTGCACAGAGCAGATCATTGGCCTTGATGCAGATACGGGCCTGTTTCTTTATTTGGATAAGATCCGCCAATGGCGGCTGTTAAGCACTCTCCTTACGCGCATACTAAACAGGTTGACTTACGAGCTCTCGGCAAGCGCGATGTCGCGCAGTCGACAGCAAGAAAGCAAGGTTCGCTCATTCTCCGCCTGATAGGGGACCAAATAGCGGCGCGACATCGGGCGAGAGCTCGGGCCGCAAGGGCGCCCTGTGGTGGCGCTCGCGGCTAAGAAGAATGGCTTCCTAACTACATTCTGCGACACAGCGTATCGATTATCCATCGGGCAGCGTTTCGGCCCAGCTGTGCTGTCGTGAGCGCGCTGGGCGAATGTGGCAACAGGGACACGCCCCTCTCCTCTATCTCTTCCTGTTTAACCCCTTCTAACTTGCCTCATTCGTTCGTCTTCTCTTCGCCACCCCCTTCTGACACAATGCCTGTCAGCGAGTTGCGTGCACCGCTTCACTGCTGGTACGATTCCTTACAAGAGCACACCGTTGTTGCATTACTTCGTTTTCTACGTACTAAGGCTTTCATCGAGTGACTCCCCAAGTATTACAGAATTAGTGGAAAAAGAACCATCTACCGAGCTGGCTTTGTGGTGTGACAGCGTGCGCCAATATATATCCCGTGACCTGTATTCTCTATTCTTTGCTACTTTCACTACTTATTATCAGCACTTTCGCTTGCATCTACATATTTTGTCAGCGAACGTTACAAGAGTGGCCGATGCTACGTGCGAACGCGCGAAATATTTGGGCCATTTCATCCCTTTCATACTATTTCGTCATAGTAAAGACCGTTCTTGTCAAAAGCGGGCCTGTGAATTCGCGTGGACTCTGCGAGCTCGAAGTAGCGCAGTAAAACGCTGCCGACACATGCTAAGCAATAAAAGAGACAGAGAAGAAAGGGAGAGAACGACGCCTATAATGCGATGAAGCCACTTTGTTGCGCAATCGCACGTGAACTCAGAATTTGTTGATTTCTCACTTTTACTTCCTTCCATTCTCTGAAACGCGACCAGACATCAGCCCACGTAGGAGTTTCCGACTTTGCCATACCAATGCAGTACTTTGAGCACACGACTCCTGGCTAGTATCAAATTCATCCGAAAGCAGCCCGCATCCTTGTTCTCGACCTGGTGTTCCTCTTGTTAGATCGTCTTGGTCCTCATTTGTAAAAGTAGCCGGCTTTTAAACAGTCGTGGATATTGTCGTTGCTGTACTTTTGTAGTCTGGTAGCTCACAAAAAGAGAAGAAAGAATGACGGCTGGTATTTTAGTTTGCATGACTGTGCCCAATCGGGAAAGTGATGCTGCACGGAACTATCGGTTCAGGGAGCGCACTTCTGATCTCCTTAGCGCGCGGCTCCTGCTTCCTCGACTGTGATACAGCGTGAGGAAGCGAAATGCAAGCCTGAGGTGCCTTGCCGTTCATTGAGCGGCTCGGGTCGCGTTCTGGAACGGGAGAGTTGCACGGGAGTGTGGGACGAGAGGCAGTGTCAAGGCGAAACTATTTCAGTGGAAGCAAGAAGCAGCGCTGCATAAAGGCAATGATGAAGCACAAATATGCCACGGGATGCCTCCGCCAGTACAAGCAGCTCATTCCTTAGTGAGCTTCCCTCTTCGCCGCTCCGTAGCGAGTCAGAGTAGTTTGGCCTCGTGGCGTCACAACAGTGCAGGCTGTAGGCCTAGACGCTGCTGCAGTTGATGACTGTGCCGTACAGCTGCTACCACAGTTATTGTATGTTGCTGCCCTCCTTCTTCAGCGGATGCCTCACTTTCCTTCTTCTTTTTTTATTCAATATGGAGCGCTAGTCTTTGCGGGCTCTGCTCGATGGCCGTTGAGAGCAAGCATGTACTTTCACGTGCACTTCGCTTAACGTGCCTCTCCGCTTCTTTCCCCCGTCATCTTTTCAAAACCTGGTGTACCATTTGAGAATAACGATCGAAGAATTATTTTTCAAAGGGATTCAAGCATTCGCACTTTATTTATTTTTATTGTTTCTATTAGGTGCCTGCACGCTTCCGACATTCATGCCTTTGAAACTGTTGCTCATTTCTAATTTCGTCTTTATTCAACGTGCCATATCATCTATTTCGTAGACAGCTTTGTTACCACCACTACACATTAGGAAAATATACTTGATATATAACCTACAGAGTAGCTGTGAAAGGGCTCTAAAGACATTTTGCTGCAGCGTAGTGAACACTAAATTTCATGTTTTACTTCAGCAAGAGATGCACAAATATCGCAAACAACCAGCAGTAGTCAACATTTTGCAGGAGACCCACTGGCTTCATAAAGCTGAGCGTTTCAGCTATCCAATAAAATATGCTTGGATTGCGTTGCCATGCACACGTATACACGTAGGCCCACGCTTTGATCCAATTGTGGCCGAACGAAAGCGGACACATGCCTTCCTCCATGATGCTTACCATGCTTTCCGTGCAGATGACTTTGTTGTCTCGGAGTCGAGCAAACACTCGTTCTCTGGCACCTTCAATTTCAACAATACATTGAAAGCCTTCCTGTCGTGAAAAATGCAAAAGAAAACGGAGCTATAAGTAGTTTCTATCCAGTCAAATTTCACCGAGTTGTTTTTTTTTTTTCGTCAGCCAGCGCAGCTCTATCATATTCGAAACTCATCAATCCCTTACGAAAATTTACTGGAAGAAACAAGGTTTCTTTTGAGCAGAACAAACTGTTGGAAGCTTCACGCTCTGTGTCCTTTCTTCTGTCCCGTCGTGTCAATTAATTGCACTGATTTGCACTCATTATCATGTCGTACCGACCAACCCAATCCTACAGTCTTCTTCTGAGCGCAATACATTTCGTAACATAGATAACAAGCACAAATCAGCATCACGCCTCGTGTCATGCATACTTTTCTCGTAACCTACAAGTCAATATAAAATACCACTGCCAGAAAGTAATTAGGTGTCACAGTAGATTAGCTGGTTGACCTAAATGCACTGATTTATGTAATACTACGGCGAACTTGCAATTCAGCCACTAAGTTGTCAAAACTCAGATAATGTAGCCAAATAATTTTGGGAGGCAACTTCAGCATTTTTTTGCTTAAGGGTTTTTCAGTTTCGCAAGGTCACCGATGCTCCTTGAATGGTGTCTATAGTTAGAAATCTTATACAAAAAAGGCACAAAATGAACTGATCCAATAGAATGAATGCTTCGCCGTCTCCTATTTTTGTCTGGTAAATCTTTCGATCTCAAGTACCTCGAGCGAATGTTCTTTTATTATAAATGACACGAAGAAGTTTAGAAGAAGCCCTAGCACGGAACGCGTGAAAAACGTCATTAATCAAACACCCTTTTTCTCCTACATCTTCTTCTTCGCTTACGGCCGAAACCATAAAGAAAAGAAACGTACAACGGCGTGTAGGGAAACTCGCGTAGAAAAGTGGCCTTCTATTTTTTTTTTATATGCATAAAGAGAATAAATGACTTCCTTCCAGGCCATTAGCTCGGTTTGCCTCTAGGAATGAATCAATACCCTTGAAACAACGGCTGCATCAATTTAAGCTTCAAGGAACGCGACGCAAATGACGGCTCCTATGTCTCTGAACGCATTTGTAGGCTTTTATCCGCGTTGTACGCTCTCGAAAAGGGAGCTCTGGGAAGCACTCTATTACGTATATTGAGCTCTCGATGGCGTAATGAAGCCTTATTGAGAGGGCTAGATATGAACTCGCCTCGTTCACACTATTCCTAATTGGGAAGAAATTTGAAATTTTCGCGCATTGGCAGAGAGTTTGGAGAGAGTGCAATAGCTACGGAAAATGGTGAGTTTTGCAGTTTTTATTCAAGACAACATCTGCAAAAAAGAAACAATGAAAATGATACCCATGAATAACCTACTCAACATTGCGACGGCATGGTCGGCTGTCGACTACTCATAAATGTCCAGGAAAGCGTTGTTATATAATTTCAGTGACCTCACCCAATCTACTGCCGCAGCTAGTTCGTTATTTTTCTTTGAAATCGGAATCGCATTTTTTGGCTACAGGTAACGCCTTGACTGTAATGATAATTTCTATATTTTGGAAATCGCCTGGAGTGACTTTCGAGTGACCATGTCTTCATTATGTTCATGGTACTTCTCACCGCGGTTTGAAGCAGTGAAGTTTGCGATGTGTCTACTAGACGTTAGCACCGTATTATTCTAGTTTAATATGTACATAGAGTATACTGCTTTAACGAATTTAGCAGAACATTTAAAAAACGGACTTACCAGGGGTGTCAGTATATTTCTTACTTCAACGGCAATTTCCTTGCGTGCCTCATGTGGGAGGAGAATTTCATCGTCGATGCTGAAACTTGGACAGTGCTGTCGACCTTTGATGAGCGAGTTGTGTGAGTTCTGCAAGAGGACATGAAATCTCATGGATAATAAAACTCTCGTTTTAACTCGAGATGGATAAGAAGATCAACGCGCCAAGCTTGATTATTCTATCTAATACTGGATTACTACTGCGGATGCTAGCCAGGGTGAAGAGAGAGGTGGAGAAAGGACAAAGCTAAATCTAGTGCCTATTCGTATGTAGAAACTATGGCAACAAAGATAGAAAAAAATATTTTGATAACCTCATAACTGCTAGTAGAACAAAGAGCGCCTTCGATGAGCTAAAGATAAATATGATAAAAACTAGTGCTTATTGTGGAACATTTACAATGTGCAGTGCATATCCTGTTGACCACAGCACAGAGTAAGCTTCACGTTCATTCTGTTGACCACCCCACAAAATAAACTACAACTTTATTTTATGTACCACCCGAAGCGCGAGATAAGTGTGTGAACTTCAGCTTCTTGATGCGTATTCACAGTAAAAAAAAAAAAGAAACAGCGCGAAAACAACAAGGAAGCGACAGAAGAAACAACAAAAAAAAAAGCGCTGCAACAAGATTTGCGCAGGAAACTCAAATTTAAAGTAATCCTCTCGATTGTATGCCACCGCACAGCTATCAATATTGCCAAAAACAGTGCCAGCACCATCGCTTAAGGGCAATTATTAGAACAAAGACGGCGTTTCAGTGCTCTTTCCTGCTTTTTCTGTCTTTTCCTTGTTGTTTTGGCACTTTTTTTTTACAATGTACTTAGGCGCTGCGAGCTGTGATGGGCGCGCTGTAGCCGCAGCATAAGCAGCCCACTTCTTTTGACGGTCTATGTGCACTAGACCACAGAATATAGTTCCAATTTGTTCTGTGGACCAGACCACGAAATCAAGTAAGCTTTTGTTTTGTGGACCAGACTACCACATCAAGTTCATCTTTGTTTCGTAGATCACGCTCTGGCTGTAACCTCCACAGCTAAAACAGCTCACCTAGCTTTCTTGAAGATGGTTTTCTGTCATGATTGGTATGGTTGAAGTGGTTTGTTCCGAATTTATCTATAACCTGTGGCCAGGCCCTTGTAATAAGCTCTTCGCCCTCCTTCCTTGTCAATGGCTGGTCTTGCGCATCGCAAGATTCACTTGCCGTTACGGGTACCGACCAAGGAGGTTATGTCCGCAGACATAAAGCATCGGTGTAGAGCTAGTGATGCGAGATACATATGGCACATATGCGTGAAAGGTTCGAAATGGAAAGGTGCAGGCCACCTTTGGCGTGCTTGTTACCTGACACGTGCGGTTACTATTTATAAGCAGTGGAGAAACTTGTAGTTATTAAATGAAGCAGCAAAAGTAACCCTGCGTATAATAATAACCAAAGATGGCCGTCTTAAAATTTTTCACTCTAATCTATCGTGTGCGAGACACTCAACTTGCTTTCACCACAGTACATAACTGTTATGTATAGCACTAAGATTTCCGCGGGACACTCAAATTTCGAGTATTCATGACAGTTGCATGGATTAAGCCGTATATATTTCAGAAAACAGCGCCAACGCCACTGCCTAATGGTAACTTGAGGACAAAGGATGGTGTTTCTAAAATTTTGCAGCCTCAATTCATCGCTTTCGAATTGCGTCACTTTCGCCACAGTACACTATTGTAATGCAAAAAAGCGTCCTGAGGTTAACATGATGCAACTCTAGTTATCACGGCAAGGTAGATACAACTATAGTGTCGAAGGCTCCATAAAAGTCCTACATCCAGAAATTGGTGGTTGATTTTTTGACGGTTTATGGGGCTTGGAGCCATCTCTGTGAGCAGGAAACACTTCCGGCAGCTCAAAAAGTAAAGCGGATTTGACGCAATAGCTGGTAAACAAGTGACGTCATTTTGTGTGCGCTATTGCTAAATTTTATCTCAAATTACTTTTCATAGAGCCCTGATCGCTAAGGACTCACGCTAAGGCAATCGCAGGCGAGTCCTTCACGATTGCGCTTCGAGTCAACGCCAGATAATCTAATACCGACTCATGACTAGATTGTGCTATTAAAGTGTACCACCGTTCACTTTGCCTCTGTTTTACCAGGAAACCTGATCTTCAAACTTATATTCGGCCGTCTTTGCAGCTTCCGCAGATGTATATAAGCAACAAACAGCGTATAACTGCCATATCTGCAGCGTTGCTTATTTGCTTCACACGTACACAGGCTCTTTAGCAAGCACAATGCTTGTGTTCTTATGTTCAAACAAGAATAAATGACGCCTAATCACGCCAAATATATGACATTTCAGTTTTATTCAATCCTAACAATAACTCAAATTTATTACACTACACCCAATGTTTATTAACACAAGAAAGTCTGCGGACACTACTTCCGTCATATTTTTTTTATCGTGCTACGATAAAATACCGCTACGTATGCGAATGCAGACATGCGAATTGTAGCGTGATAGATAACTTGGCAATCTGCTCACCGATAACGCGAATAATAGTAGGAACTGTATGCTCAAGAAATCAACCGGGCTGCAAGAATACTGATGAATGAATCCCCGAAGAGCCCTCTATTCCAAACCATCGCCCTTGTTTCTTATCTTGACTTAACACATGGGGCGCCAGGCATGCGTTTGTTGCTACTGGATTTTTGCATAGCACATAGTCTCCACAGGTACCGACGAAGGTACTCGGCGTTAAGCGTAATGTGCATCGTTCGGCTGCCCGTTGGACACTGCACTCGAGACGTTCACCAACGACAAAACGAATCTCACTATTCCGCACACAGTAGAGAACGCAAGCAAGTGTGGCACACTAAGACAAGTGAGGGAGTATGTCATTGCGGACGAATTTTACGAGTGCGCCTTTCCATGCAAGGGCTGCACTGAGTAATGATTGCGTGGGCACAAGGCACAAGAAAAAATATTTTCGTAATAATAAAGAAACTACCATTATTAATTCGCTCATTACCCCTACACAATCTTGTTGGCAGATAGAAACGTCATTTGTAAAACATAGCTATTGCTTCGACTTTGCATCAAACTTGGTTTTGCACCATTATTGTTTGTTCTTTCCACACATAGTCACGCTTCAGTCGCGGCTCCCGTAACTCACCATGCTGATGACGCTGGCACTAGGTTCCGAACCGCTTTTCGCCTGAACTTGCGCGACCTATTAGAACAGACCTTGATCACGAAATATAGCACACCTTCAGACGTTTCAGCTAAGTTTTCAGACGATGACGTCGATGGTGGTGGGTGCACGCATGCGTAATTCAGATGCAAAATGTGCCGTGTTTATCAACCAGAAAACCGGGCCGCGTTTATTACGCTTTTTTTTTTGCACGACACCTTTGTGCAACGGCGAAAGTGACTTTCACGTTCAGCAGTCTATGGATCATGGCCCAAAAATGTTTTAATACTGAACTTTGTCGTTATTATTTTCTTTCTTGTGGTGGCACTAACACTGTTTTATAGGTGATTCTTGTCATCACCCACTCGCGAGGACTGCTCGAAATCCGAAAGTTTCCCAGGCAAATCGAGTTAGATCGTGAGATATGTTTATACATGTCAGATATAAGATGAACTTCGTATTAGGCGAGGGATCCAAGTTGTTCCGGTGAGTGTGCGAAACTAAATACGTGTTCCACAACCACAGTGTTCATAACCACACAGGTGGGTTTCACCCTTCGAATTCTTCACGCATACAATTCTGCTCTATGTCTTTTTTCAATCTCGCATCGATGGATGCAGGTGCCCTTTGTACGGATATAGCCTCTCTTGTACGGTCTCATTTACATCACGGCAAACAAATCTTACCATTCATGAGAGAAACTGTCGTCGAGAGAGGTGGTTATGTAGTACAGCCATTTGCGTGTGCAGCGTAGTCACATTGTCTACAAGACAAGTCTTTGTTGGCGTAGTCCACAAAATAAACCTGTGGTTTATTATGCAGTTTCGTTCACAGAATAAAGCTGGAGTTTATCTATGGGGTATGGACCACAGAACGGGCACTGCTTTTGAAACGAATTGTATTGTGGAAGCTTTGGATAGTACTTTAAGTATAGGGGTGTTCGAGGGACCGTCAATAACGCTGCATCAGAGACGCTTCTGCCTTATTGGCTTATCTGGAAACGCTCCTTATCAATGGACTTATTAGAAAAATTTTTAGCAAATGTTATAGAAAGATTGAAGGCACGATATTTTATCTGAGCACTGCGTCATCATGGACAAAAATAAAACTGCTGTAACGAAGCCAACAAGTCATAAATTGTTTCCACCTTTTAGTTGATATATTTTGATTCGATATCCTGATTTACAATGTACGTTTGCGTAGCTGTAAACTATAGCCAAGCATTCGGCTTTTAGCAGCCAATTTATATTTCTTATTACAAGCTCACTGCTTATTTGACCGCCTCATGCCTGGTTCACGTTTCATAAAGCAGGGTCAGAATTGTCAGGGGTGATACGTTAACCAGTTTATAATTCGTGAAGGTGAGGAGGGGAAAATTCTTTTTTTTTTCACCTCCTGTCTAATGCTGGCTGTATAGACGCTTGGTGCAGCAAATCACCAAGTTGGCCTCATTAGTTGTCGCTCATTTCGTAACTTTTTCACTGCGTCAATATAGGGGCACTACAGAAAGTAAAAGCAGTACATACACATGTGCGTTCTTTTACTCAATCTGTTGAGCCTACAATAGCGCACTAGAAGCTTTATATAACACAGACCTGAAGATTAGACAATAACAAATCTGTTGACCTTAAATTTAAAGTGGGCTTTGACGACGGCCTTCTTACTTAATCTGAAGAGCTGATATGGGAATTCCTAAAGAAAAAAACTAGGAAAGTAAATAGAGAAGCGTACGCTTTCTCCAATGATAACGCGACGTGCGCAGTCTGTTGCGTTGCTTGTGCACGAATTCTCGTGGAGGCACCAGTTGCAGGGCCATGAGCTCATCACGCAGGACTTGCACCTGGGAAAACAGTGATTTCGAGACGATTCGAGGTGGAATTGTTTTGCATCGTGTAACTTCGCGAAAAACGAACGGAAAAACAGGGGAAGAAAAAAGCACAAACAGGCGCAGACTAAAACTGAAGCTTTATTCCAAGAACAAGGCAATTCAAGTGACGGAAAAAAGCACCTGCCCATGTTTGTACTTTTATCTTCGTCTGTGTTTCAATTCGTTTTTTTCTTGGGGGGGGGGGGGCAGTCACATTATGGATCATTACCAACTCAGCCTTCTTACCACTTTTCTGAACTTCGTATGTAAGCTAAATAGAAAACTGGTCGATTGCAAGCTTTCGATTGTACGATTGCACTAATAACAACAATCGCTGTAGCAACGTTCATCGAAATGCCTTTTTCGAGAACCAACACAAGCTAACCGGATACTTTAATTACGTTTTAAATTATGTGTGCATCTTCTAGTTGGAAAAGCTGACAACAGTAAAGTGCAGAATTATAGCACTAGAATAGAATGGGTTACATTACCGAATTGCACAATTTGGCTTTTTTCCTGAGCCAGACGCTTAACGTGTACAGGCGGTTTAGATGCTTTCGCTCTATCAAATGTGATGAATATGCGCTATTCAGTGTTTTTTTAAATGCTGACGGGCGAAATAAACAGAATTGAAAAATATCACGCATAAACATGTAATCAAAAATGGCCATTATCTTGTACAATCGTGAAATGTTAGATGGACGTACGTTTTGTGAACACTGCAGTCGAAGAAGACAAACTCTCTGTGAATAAAATCGGTGTCTGTCTCACTTGAGCGCACCGCCAAGTCCACAGCGACGTGATCTGAGTGGAAACGGATAAAAAGAAATTTTCGACGAATAAATCAGCATCAATCTGACGGAGAATCATTGTTTAGCTATTATTTGGCATCAAAACTGCAATTTCTTCACACGCCTTAAGAAAGCAAACTTAAAGAACGATCAGAGCTTCCCATAAATGTATACCTTTAGAAAGCTGATAGTTGGAATGGTTGGAAAGATGTCTTTTTTTGTCGTTTATATATGGGTGCTGGCGCCAGTAGTATTCGACCTTACTAAATGGAATCATTAGTATGGTATGATGGAAGATGTAGTATTACTTGCGAAAGAATGCCGTCAGTTGTTTCAATTGAGCACGCTGTTACTTCACTGGGCGCTGTTACGCTAAAGTCTTGTGAATTTTAGCTAAAATATTGTTCACCAGGAACATCAAGCTGAAAAATTGGATTGGAAATTGTGATTCAACAACAGGCATGCACAATTCCCGGAAACGTACGGGATCTACTAGAACGACAATAGTGAGCATTTTTGTTGTTTTTATCTTCTCATCCGTTAGTTATGTTAATGTGAAAGCACCAACCATACAAATGTTCATTTCTTTATTTTCTTCAGACGCGAATTGTAATGTACAATCGAGGAATGCGAAAGTTTAGATAACACAATTCTAAGTGTCTCGTTATTACATTAAAAAATTGACGTAGAGGGGTTTCTGTGAGTTTCACTAACTGTAATTTGTATATAAATTAATATTCCACATTATATGGTCAGCCATGTTTAATCTTGACATAAAAATTGAAGTCATAAGCTCATGGTGCGTGCGCAATTAGTTTTCAGTTGCATTAAATTGGCGAAAAGAAATGCAATATTTTTGACGTTGGTTTTCAAACGCCGCACGTCGAACGACACGTTTAACATTGTAGCGCATTTACAAAAGTGATTGGCTACAGTAATACGCTGCGGACTGAGGTTAAGTTCACAAAATGCTACTTAACTGTACACAAACTCTCTTCTACCCAACACCACGTTTACCTCCCTGCGTGCAAACACTAGGCAAACAAGTCAGTGAAATTTTAATCTTCCTCCCTGCAGCAATATTTATGGCGAACGATTGTTAGAATTCTTCGGAGGCAAACCTGGAACACTGTGTTTCTAGAAATAAAACTATGCGTAACGTCAGCCTTTCTTGAAAATGATTTTTCTTGTCTAGCGATTTGTAATCACCTATCATACGTTAATTGTACATCATTTAAACTTGCAAAATCAATCATTTTGATGACGAATCATGTGCACTGCTTAGCTTTTATAGATTTTCTGTATTGTACCAGCTTCTAGCCACGTAGGCCATTGGTCTAACTATTGTGTACGCATCTTTTTTATACACGACTTAATAAACTCATTTAGAATTGATTTGATTTAATTCAAGTCATATTGACTGCGCAAAAGAATCAATTGATCCAACGAACAGTGTATTTTGTTCTCTTTTGGCCACAAGTCAACACAGCTAGCATAAACAAATTGCGTACACAAGCGTAGCCAGCGCTGCTGAAGGTGTTAATTATCTTTTACAATGGCAACTGGAAACAATTCTATTGCTTACTTTCCTCCTCTCAGTAGCTAAAAGAACAAGCGATTTTCGCCTTGCGTGTGCTGCATAGACTCCGACGCACCTTTTCCTGGCGGGATGGATGGTCTGGCTGCAACCAGCGGAGACATGCAGGCGAGGCCCAAGTGCGTAACGCGTGCTTGAATCGGAGCGCTGCTGCCGTACACGCAAAGGTAGTGGGCGCCATAAGGAAGTTGCGGAAGCTGGTTGATCACCAAGTCCACCTGCAACATTTCATGATTCGTGACGCGGGACATTTCATGACGCCGTTTCATTAATAAAGGCAGAGAGAGAAAGAGGGGGGGGGGAACAAGAAAAAGGAAAACAAGAAAGAGGATAGGCCAGCATGTTTACCAGTTTGGCATAACCGGTATGCTAACCCTTAATGTGGTATACGGCACCATTACGAGTCTATAGCGGCTCTTGCAAGTCTGTTGTTCTTAGGAACTTTAGCAATGCCTAGCTGCTTGAATTCTTGAGGAGTTTTCAGCATGATGTTGGAGAATAGCTACTAGTGACACTTTCCTGTTGCCAAGTCTACCGAGAGTGATATAGTAGGATTGTTTCTTAACAGCGTAGCGAGGACAGTTGTACAAGGTAAGCTGTTAAGTCTCCTCGGCACAACTGGCGCCGCAAAGAGCGCTGTCGGCCATCCCTACACGGAGTAGTCAACAGGTGAGCGTCCGGTTTCCTGCCCATCGCGAGGGGTAAGAAGATAGGGACTAGAAAGTGAAAGAGAGAAGGCGAGCACGGTGTGAGTACTCGAGTATGCAGTCAGTCACTGTGGCCGGAGTTTATATAGCATATGCGACTTCCGAGACATTATAATTCGAAGTTTGAGGAAAGCTACTGAAGCCAGTATTTTCTGCCTCTGAGGCTGCAGTTCTGGCAAAATAATAGGGAAGTATTTCGGGCGTTTAGCCACCTTCAACCATATCTCAGAAATTCTGCGTTTCACTTGTTTACGCGAGACCCATACGAACAATTAAATTTTGCGTACCGTGGGAGTTGAAAGAACATTGAGTTTGCTAGCTATTCTCAACCGTAAGAAGGACATCTGCATGCATGGTGTTCTGACAAGCTGTATCAACACAATAACGCGCACCAATAATGTGCAAATATTAAGGTTTTTGTCAAATACCGTGCTTCGTAAACTTTTGGAAAAGGCTGTGTGTTTCGGCGCTGATAGGAAGTTACGAACAACCGTGTAAGCAGAAGCTAAACGCCCAAAACCATGGGCGTCGGCTGGGGGGCGCAAAAAGGGCACTTCCCCACCTCAAGCGTCAGCAGCACTTGCCGCTGCCCAGGCTACACCAGTGCTCTCCCCCTTCCCCGGCCACGGTGCAACACTGGTGTGCACCCTTCAAGAGAAAACACTGTCGAAGACGATGTACAAAACGCTCCCGCTGTTGTGACTTGAAGCTTTGATGAGGTTAATCTACTCTATTTGGTTGTATTTGTTTCGCCCGTAACCGATTTTTGTGAACTTTGCGTTCTCACTACAGGCGAGCTCAAGCTGCACAAAAAGCTTTTCGTCAGTTCCCAATTTCTGTTGTAACGGGGGTATATAGACAATTTGCAATGCTCAGTTTCCAATGTACCCCACGAATGCACCCATTGATGAGCTTTCGCTCGATGTTCGTGCTTTTCTACAAATAATTAAGTGCAGTACACCTCGGCTCACTTAGTAGTGCTTTTGTAACATGCTGACACAACTGCAGTTGCAGCGAGACTCGTGCAGTTAAAGGCGCAAAGGAAGAGTCCATACTACTTCCAAGGTCCGACGCTAGCAGCATACTTCGAGTGCTTCTACAGGAGATTTCACTCTCTCAGTTGTGGACGCCAAGTAGTCAGGTTAACTGGAGCAATTGACACTGCCGTTCCTTTTTCATGCATCTTTGTATGCCAAGTGGGCTTCATTGCATAAAAGCCACTTTGCAGTATGGTTTATTACTAGCGGCGGAATTCGCAACATCCTATTCACTTTTCATTGTAATGGCCGACAACACTCTTTGCGATGCCTGTCTTTGCAAGGAGACAATGCAACCCATTCGTTGCGACTGTCTGGATTGTAATATTGAGAGGAAGTCCCAGGCATCCTCTCTACGCACTTTCACAATAGACCAGTTGAAGCAGTTTTTACGTGTCGTCGATAGAAGAAATCGCAGCTGAAGACGGCGAAGGTGCTACTTAAGTTTTTAACAAAAACTGATTTGGACAAGCCGCTGTGACAGTGATTTCACGTACCACGCAAAAGTTATTGACTCTGCGTGTGCTCTATTATGTGTCATTTTTCTTTCTATTTGCTCTGCATATGTCAATATCTCTCATCCCATTCTCATGTGCAGGGTAGGAAACCATCTGTCCTAAACTGGTTAACCTCCGTGCCTGTATTTCCCTACTATTTTTTTTCTCTCTTTTTGTACTGGTCGCCCATCTTATTTTGGTTGCGCAGCACTGCTGAACATTGAACAATAAAACGTGAGCTTCAACTTTGCAAACACGACCGGATGCGCTCCACCTACGGGGCATCGCAAGCAATACACTTCACAAAACTCAAAAGCGTGTGTAGAGATGCTATAAATATAGCATGAACACTTGCAGACACTTACGGTTAACACTTTGGCGCGCATGTTTCAGGCCCGTATTTCTTCACGGAACTGTTAGAGCTGTTCGCAACCCTAAGACTGCTCAAGTGCTCGCATAAGTCAAGCGACAGCGTCATTGCCAATGAGTTGGTTCAGGAGGGGACCTTCGTAAGTAAGCCGCGCGCCGTTTTCCGCAGAGGCGGCGAGGTCGCGGAAGTACGCGTCTTCAGACAGTTTTATGCACGCCTGAAAGGGCTCCGTGGCTCCGCTCACTGGTCGCGTGTGAGCCCGTCCTTTTCATTAAAAGTCAGGCAGGCGTTTACCCTTTGGAAGTCGTTCCCTCGCTCCATGCTGCGTAGGGCGACGTTCCGTGAACATCCGCTGAAGGGTAGAATGCGAAGCGAGGGAGGAAGGGTAATGTAGTCGAAGGGAAGTGTGCGGTGGAAGAGAGAGAGCGAAGCTTATTGCAACGCTGTCTGCATCGGTGGCAGTGCTTCCACATATGGCACCGCCAGTGTCATCCTCATCTCCGTGCGTCGGCGGGCGCTCTTCGTCCAATCAAATTCGATTATGCACGCTTTTGCGAAACTGTCACTCCCAATTAAGGGTGCACGCCGGCGCGGCAGCGAGCCTCAAGCCGAGCCACACCAAGCCATCAGTCCTGGCTGGATCGGCTTGCTGCAGAAAAGCACGCGTGCGTTACAAGCTTTCTTGCTCGAGTGACGCGTAGCTGAGTGAGCGAAGCGTCGCGTGTCTTTTCCTCTTCCGTTTCTTTTTTGTGAAGGTTGCGCCCTCCTGTGTGAAGTGTGCTAGAATGGGGAATGCAGCTCGCGAGCTGAAACGGGAGTGCAGGAGGAGGGGTGAAAGAGTGGAGGGACAGGGAGTATAACTCTTTCAATAAGGACTTCCGTTTGCACGCTTGTCGGCCTCAGACAAGGCCTCGTCACAGAGATTATGGTTCTCGTTTTATTTTCCTCTTCTCCTATGGTTCAGTTGGCAACCCTTTGAGAACAGAATACCTAATCGTTCGTAGACGAGCACCCAAAGTAAGCTGCATGAACTGGAGCTTTACTACGTCTTCGGTGCGTTTCTTCTTTGTGCTAATGATTGCGCAATAAACGAAGCAACTAGAATCTTTTTTTTTGAAACAAGAATAAAATGCAATCATGAGAATGACGCTGACGTAGTGTTCACGTCCCACTGAAGAAAGCACAAGGTCAGTGCGAGTGATCCGCCGAGGTGAGAGTAGCGATGCAATGCCAGCAACGAGCGTCGGACGCGTTGTCGATCATTTTACTCCTTGCCTAAAACTGGCTCCTTTAAGGCTGTTGACTGTTATTACAGCATTGCTTGAAAACAAAAACAAACAGAATTTTGTGCTTTTGTGTTTGTTGCAGATTCATATACGACTGTAGCTGCATAACAAGTTTTCGACTTCTAAGGAGTTGAGCGTTCCTATATATGCAAAAACATTTTCAATATTTCAGTTCTCCTTCAGGTTATTAGGGTGTACTTATCTGAATAGCTTTAATTACGAAAACTCTGATCTGTACATGAGAAAAGCAACGTATTCTATGGTAGTTCCCGTCATCAACACTGAAAACGAAAGTAAATTTGCATGGTTACATGCGAGAGCGTTATGGGCGAGGTGGGATCAAGTGTAACGACAGGCAATGTTTTATTTTAGCTTCCTAACAGTTATTCTTTTGTATCAAAAGCACCACCCAAATATCTGCCTAGAAAGATTATATCTTATAGGCTTGCAATAAAAAGAAACAGATCACCAGCTTTCGGAGGCTGATAAGAGGGGCAAAGTATAAAGTGATGAACAAGAGGTACCTTCAGTGTGACGCTACGCGTGAACAACTTACAGCGTTCGCACCTGCGTCCCATTGTGCGATTGCACTCCCCTCCACGCATTTTTTTCCTAACAAGCTGCGGAATTCCGGAATGCTCTTTATTTACTCTAAAAAGTTTCGCGCTGGGCAACGCATGCTTTCGGTGTACGGCAGCCGCACGAAGCCCACGGTTGTTGTCTCGGCTCGCCTTGGTGGCGTTATTGAGTTTGAGCGGCGCCTCTCACTCGGCGAATGGCTCGAGCAATGTTTTGCTGCTCGGCGCACAGACAGTACTCGCCATCCGCACCTGCAGGCACTCAACAAGTCGACCGAAATCTGGGCGCGGCGTTTTGAGGGGTAGAAGCGCGCGGGATTCAGAAGCCCTAGCTTGTCCGTACAAAAAAAAAAAAGCTAACGAAGGAACGACGAAGGCCGCCAGAGGAGCCGAGGTTACGCTGCTTTCATTTGGCGAGAGGTCCCAAACCACTGTCATAACAAGACTCAATTGAATTAGTAGCGAACAAGTCTCGGCACCCGAGAGCACAAAAGAAAAAAAAAAATAGGAGGAACGACTATCGCTGAATCTTCTTCTATGCATTGCCGTAGTGAGGCCGACGCTCTGTTAGGATCGGGGCCCTGGGGGAGGGGGGGGGGATAGAGGATGAAAAATACACGAATCTTCCTTCGCTCGCTCCATGGGCTGATGATAATCGGGGGAATATTTATGAGCCAGAGAGGCGGAAGGTGACAACAAAGAAAGTACATGCGTGTGTTACGACAGAAGTACAAGAGAACAAAACAAAAAAAGACAAATATCGTCGAGCGAGGCCTCCGCATATATATCCCGCGTTGCTTGCAGTCGAAATACATAACTGCAGCGGAAAGTACGGCGCGTGGGGCGAAAGTGGGCGCAAGCAGACGCAGAAGCCGCCCGCTAGCTGGCTGTGGTTTGACGAGCGGCGAGCCGCAAAGGAGCGCCTGCTTTTGCCGAGTCTTTAACTCAATTAATATGTTGATGCAGAATCTGAAAGTACAAAGAAATGAAGAGCTGGCCGAGTTGACTGAGCCACGGGACCACTTGAGCCGGTTGGAGGAGCTTGCACATCTGAAGAGAACCGGAGAGGGGCTTCCCGCCGGCTCTGCTCCGCCTCGTTCATTCTGGTGTCTGTTGCTGCGCTGTGTACATAATCTGCTACGAGTGCACGACCATGTATTGCGCACTTCCTGCTGTGCCATAATATCTGCAGTGTTATTGTTTGGCTTTGGGTGTTTGCATTGCTCGGTGAATTGCTCTCTTGTAGTCCTCCGATATCACGTAGAAGTTTAGCGCTGTTGCGCCAGTGAAAGTTTGTTGCCTTGCTAGGCTAGTCAGAGTGGATTTACCTTGTTGCTCAAGCGTGGGAAGGTAATGTCACCGGAGCACAGAAAGTTCGTTTGTGTTTTGCGTTGTCTGCTCGCAACTTTAGTGCATTTGTGGTGGAGTACCTGGCAAATAGCACAAAGCTTGTTCGCTCTCCCGAAAACGCAATATTAACAGGCGTGACCATTTGGTATTCTGCACTATCTAGTTTAGGAGACGGGAAGAGAGCATGCAGAGCGGGCCAAGGAAGAAATGGTAGTGAAGGATATCAAAGCTGGAATCAAGAAGAAATGAACCCTGGGCTGGCACGTAGAGCGTTGGCTGGATAACTGCTGTTCATTAAGGGTAACTGAATGGTTTCCAAGAAAAGCCATACACGTCAGTGACAGGCAGAAAGTATGGTGGGCAGATGAGATTAAGAAGTTGGCGGATATAACGTGGCAGCAGAAAGCACAGGACTGGGTTGATCGGCAGAGCAGGGTAGAGGCTTTTGCTCTGCGGTGGGCGTAGTAAAGCTGATGATGACTCGTTGGCTAAGGTATGGTGGCTTTCGCTGTATTAAACTTCCACTAAATATACCTGAATCAGCGGGTTGGCCATCTAGCTACCGAAAACAGCTCTTTTCTCTTCTTCTTCTGAGCAATGATTTGTGGTTGAATGTTAAGTAATTTCTACTTTCATGTCTGTGAGATAACTTGGATAATTTTTTACCCACTAAGAACCTAAAAAAAAAATAAAGCGCTCTTGACTCTCTCGCTAGTATGTGCAGTGCCTGCTCATTTGTAGGCGTTTGTATTAGCCCTCTCTGTTAAAATTAATACTGTCATGTTACAGGTGCCAACAGCGTCTTTTAAATAAGAAAGCGTAATCGGCTTGCATTTCTAGAATAAATATTCAATGTGGTGTTCGGTGTTATCTGGGGTCATGCACCCGTTCGCGCTCATGTGGAGCCGTGTAGTTTAAAGCGTTTTAGTGAGCAGTGTATATGCGCCCATTGAGGCGTGACGTATACGATGTGCGTTTCTGTGGCGGTGCACCGAATGCCGTAATTCATGCGCGCTGGGAGATTTCACGCAGTTTAGTGCTCTAAGTACATGTTGATAACACGACAATAAATACACAATTATTGCTGCAAGATCCATGAGTGTTTTAAATAAACAGCGAGCACATATACACGAGAGAAGAAATACGGAAGGCTAACTCCTGATAGTACAATGATTCGAAGTGAAACCTAATGAATATGATGGACAGTAAAGCTGATTACAACAGTTAAGCGGAAAAAAACGTGAACAGCGTGCGACACTAACGTTCTTCTAACATGCGATGCACCCAAATGTACTTTTTTTTTTTGCTATCTCCGTGCGCACAGAACAAATTGTCAGTAAAACTCGGCAGCAACCGTGTTTTTTCCTGGACGACGATAGCATATCTGCAGTGTGAGAACACGCTCTACAAGCAGCTGCGACGTGCATTTCATCTATGACCAGCCAACAGATCTCGCATGCCGCTTTCCCGAGTGCGGAGCACTTTCATGACCCGGGCTGTCATGTATGCGGTCGTCGTTGTTTGGCGCAACGCTCCAAGAAGTTCTTTTTCCTTTTGTTCATCACGCACCTTGATGATCGTCACTTATCATCAGGAGCAAAAAAAACAAAAAAAAAGAACTGGTGAGATTGGTGAAGCACAAATAAAATGGCGTGTTATAATAAAAAAGAAAGAAGAAGCATGCGTGAAAAATCGTGAAGCCGAGAGGGGGAAAGGCGTAAGAAAAGTAGAAGAAGCAATTAAGAGGAAGAAGTAAATACAAATAAAGAGATGAAGAAAAAAAGAAAGATTAGGAAAGGAAATGACGACTGAAGAGAATTAACGAAGGCTTCCCAGCTGCACACTTCTTTCGGGCTTGGCACGCCTAGTGCGAAGCTACCCTAATATTTTTTTATTATTTATTATTTTTATCGCAGTGGCGTGTTTGCAAAAATGTTCTCACCATCGACATGGACTTGTAGGGCAGTTGGTCTGGCCGCACAGCGAGAAAGTCGATGCACTTATTCGAGCCAAGGGAGAGCCAACGCGCCGAGCTGCTTCTCTCAGCCAACGTCCTGGTGGCGTTCTGGCAGTGGGCCTTCACGGTGCACCTGCGGGGGGTTTGAAGCCCACAAAAAAAGAAGCGCGATAGTTTAAATTCATACGATGTGCTATATTGACTTATGTCAACAAATGATAACACGGCATGCCTGGACTGCATAACTACACCGAGACATGTCCGGACTAGTTGCGCTAGTTGTCTGGGAGCGCGGACAAAATATGACATAACCGCGGGAACTAAAGGAGAGCCAATGCGCACAAGAGCTCGAACGGGCGCGACAAAGCCGTGCAGCGACACCCTCCAGACTGGCCTTAAGGCCTCGCCACGATTTGGCGGCGTCAACACATTACGGCTGGCGCGGAGAACGCGTTCTCAGCAGAAATGCACATTGCTATGCGCTCGTTTTCTGTGTACGTAAGGCTTGTTGCGAGCTTATTCGTTCACGCACTCTCCCATTTCCCGAAAGCGCCTACAAAGCGCCTCTGTCGAAGTGTTGTGATGTAGGCGCTAGGGATAGGAGAATATGTGGAAGCCTAAGCTATAGTCTAAGGGGTGTTACGTGAAGCCGCTGCCTCAAAATGTGCCTACCTGGAGCAACTGACTTCGACGAATTTCATTTCCACATTTGAAGATGGCCTCTAAATTTTTGTCCCGCTTCTTCAGTATAATTTTAAAACAAGAAATACTTAGAGAAATTAGGAATGCGCAGTGGGTACAGTGCTATGATGACTAAAAGTACACAAAAGAAAGATTACTTCAAAAAAATATTTAGACGATTCTATTATCGGCCCATATACACCCCATCAACAATGAAGTCTATCTTTAACGCTACCCCTATTTCGTGCAACGGCTTGTTCTCACTTCACCGGTCGTCACTGTCACTGAGCGTAAAACCCCATAATTTCTGCTCCCTTTGTGCAGAAGATCCACACGTGCCTTATTATTTTCAGAAGCCTCGGTTCATACTTATCGGCGAAGTTTCGCACAAAATTAAGCGGTGAAGTCCGTGTAACTGAATTTAGGCGCTGAGAGCCTGTCCAGCGTCGAAGCACTCGCTTATCGCTTTCCACGCTTCGATTGCTTCTCCGAAAATAGCTACGCTCAAGACCTCGCTCACATATTTTTACTCATTATCTCATCCCAGCCGGTGTTGCGTCAAGTTGCTGAAGGAAAAAAGAAAAAAAAATGGTAGAACGTAATAAGAGTGCATTACATTTCGCGCTTATTCAAGCCAGGTTGGTGAAAGTACTTGGCTTCCTTAGACGAAGTTGTTTCGACGCTTGCTTGTTTTTTAAGTAATCGAGGTTTCTATATTTTGCCAAGGAGAGCAGATGTCATGGCTGGAAAGAATAGCCAGAACGTCGATCGGTAGTGCGGGCTGAAAGTGAGTGAGGCGTATGTTTGAATTCACCCTCTTTCTTTTTCGCCATAAATTATCGGTAACCGAATTTGGCATCCAAGAGATTCAAGTGGTGCATTGAAGCGAATTCGCCGAAGGAATGGCGAAAATAAAAAAAAAACCATGTGGTGGCCTGGCTTATGAACGGCGAGATAAAAATAAAAAAATAAAATCATCAAGCGGTACATTCTAGGAAAGCAAACAAAACTGATTCTCATCATGGTGCCGGAATATTCTCTTTATTTGCAGGTCATTGTTTAGTTTCTTACGTTATTCTTGTAACGCTGACAACTTGCAGTGCGCATAACGAAGCGATAAGACCACTGTATATTTTTCAGAGTTCTCGCCTTTATCGATTTACGGTTTAATATTTGCTTTAAAAACAGCGGAAGTGATACTTTGCGCGTTTTATTTTATTTTTGTTGTAGTTCTTTGGGCTGTTCCACAAGTAACATCGACTCGTGGATATGAAGACATGTTTCAGTGACTTTTTACTGCGTGAACGCGGGTGATGTGCGAGCGAATACGTGCTGTTTCTTTATGCATTGTTCTAGAAAGTCTGTTTACGTTAACCAGGGTGACTTGACAAACTCAACGACAGCCATTTGACAAATAGGGTATTAACGCTCGCGCGTGGAAAATATTCACGACGAATCTCCGCGGTTGTCGTCCAAGTAACGCGTTGTCCAAGTGATGTGTCATAGTCCCAGATATGAATAAGCCTTTTGACGTAGTACTTACGCAAATTTAGAATTTTTGCGATGCATACAATCCTTAATTCAGCTTTACATGTAGTCCTACATTGGGCACACAATTCAGGAAATTCTTCATAGAAATCCTTATTTCACATTTTTTAACAGCATAAGCGTGGCGCATTTATATGGTTCAGACGCATTCGAATTCTGCAAGCGTACTTTCCAATATGTAACACACTTGTCTTCGCATGGTGGGGACCTGGGCATTGAAGGCAGAGCTTCGAAAACTCCTTCTTTCAAATTATTTGTGCCTTTAAATTTCTGTGGCGACTCCGTAGAAAAGTGCCCATCTGTCCCTCTCACACGTAAGCTCATCACCGTCGTAAAATAATGACAGAACGTGAAAAAAATAAAAAAAAACTTTCAGGCCTGCGCGGAAAGTGCAGTGCCGTCCCATCGAAAACTGGAAGAGCACCATTTCTAGAGCCTGCTACAAGCTCTCTTGAGGCTAATACAGGTACGTTTGCAAGGTACCAACCACTTCATTAGCAGTTATTTTGCTCCTATACTACGTTATATTCTGCATGTTAACGATGACCCTTTTCTCCATAACGCTAGTGTAGGTTTTTTCGTGCAGAGGCTCGAGCACTGTCATGGCTCAGTCCAGACTGCGACAAATGTGGACACACTAAGCTTGCCTGAGCCATGCTGGTGCGCAGTGTGACTCTCACGTTTTAAATGCGGAGCGTTGCTTAGCGAAATTCGGCGACTTTGAGCCTTTGATCTATCTAGCCGCCTACAACTTTTAGCTCTCCTGGCCGTTTCGATAATGGTATCAATATCAAACTTGGTATGACATAACCTGACTGTACGAAGAACATATTTAATTAGTCACGAGAAAATCATGACATTTATGTCATGAATGTCATGATTTACATTTCATGGTACTGCAGCTCTTGTGGTAGTTTCGTTCACATGGGATGTTGCAAAACTGGTATGGTATAGCACGATTGTATGACGAACACAAGCGACAGGCCCTAACAGAAAAATCATGACATGCGTGTCATGTAACAACATGACTACATGCCAACCTCATTATGCGCTCGCGGCCGATTCGCTAGCGTCATATACCATATTTCGTATTACAGTACGTGAATAGATGCCGAAGGTACGTGACTGGTGCAAACATGATAATCATGAGATACGTGTCATGTAACAACATGACTACATGCCGCGCTCATGATGCCTTGGCGGCCATTTCACTAGCTTCACTTATACCAAACTAGGTATTACGGGACGTGAATGAATGACGAAGGTATAATACTGGTGCAAACATGATAAACATGAAATGCGTGTCATGTAACATGACTACATGCTACGCTTATGATGCGCTCGCGGCTGTTTCGCTAGGTTTACATGTACCAAATTTGGTATTATGCAACGCGAATGGATGACATAGGTAGACGACACATCCAAACATGATAATCATGAGACGGAAGTCATGTGCGACATCATTCACTTCCACTTCGTAACATAGTGCAGATTTTAAAGTGGCAGATCAACATTTCTAATTCGTGCTTCGCATATCATCGATTCCCACTGTACGTGGTATCTGCCAATTTTTATCTGTCTTGTTTTTTTAGGCAACCAATGTTTGTATTGTAATTAAAATTTACTCTTGCTTGTTTGTTGCATAATAAGTTGCGGAAATAAGGTAAAAAAAAAAAGCTCCGAAGCTCAGCGGTAGAATGCGGTGCTTGCACGGAACGGTCCCACGTTTTCACCACGTTCCATCCTGGATATCTTTTTCATTTCGTTTTTTTTTTATTTCGTCCGATGGCGTGTACGGACAGAAGTGGCGACAGCGGCCAACTACGGCACCCTTGTTGCAACTCATAGCAGCTTTCGCTGCAAACAAAAAATAAAAGAAAAAGATTAGGGAACCCTAAAGCTTCGCTTTTAGGAGTTGAACGCATTAGCGACATCCTGTTTCTAGTGCATTTTTCAAACACTTAGTGCATGAAACCTATTCGAATTTGCTATATGCACCCATTATACGGGGCCTTAGGGGAATAGGCGCAGTAGCGTGTTGGCCTTTTGTAGTGGAGAACCGACTTTCAACCGTGGAGTCATTATGATAATCACATAATCTGACGCCCATTGGCAATGGACGCTTGTACCACGCATTATTACTGCAATACTTGTTGCATTGTGAAGCATCTATACAGGACACGTGTGTTTGCGAAGCATAAAAGCTACTTTCACTGCATTTACAAGCAGAGGAAGTTCTTTTCACTGTTCCAACAAGCAGAAGTAAGGCCGTGCAATATAACATCCGCTTGCCACGCAAACGACCCAGGTTCGATACCCGCTCGGACCGAAACAACCCAAGTTCAACCCCATTCTACTCCAGGCTTTTTTTATCAATCATTTTATTTGCATCATTCTCAATTTTTCGGTCACGCATAAGATGATTTTTCGCTCACAAACAGCAGCGCCGACGCCGACGCCGACAACGGAATTTCTGCGACACGAGCTCTTTACCGCTATCGCGTTAATGATTGAAAAAGCAATACGAGTGTCTCACTACTGGACTACATACCGGTGCTTGAACCATATAAATACATGCCATATGTTTGAAATATATATATAAATGCGTTGTACCAGCGGGAGAAAACAAGGGTAAAATCATGTCTCTGACAAATTCGTTCAAGACAAGACTTTGAGCGGACATGGATCGGAAATATCAAGAAAACTTACACATCGAAGAACAAGAAGTTCGGCGGTCAATTGATACACTTGCATTGTGATAGTTCTTGACACAGACGAACGCTACAGAGAGCATAAAAGACACCATGTGGGTGCCGCCCGGAAACAGTGTTGCGCGAAAGGGTGCCACTACGTAGTAAGCTAGAAGGTGATTACGTAGAAACGTAGAAGGCTCAACGTTTAGGC